GGTGATTATGATACGTTGCTGGACGACCGCCTAAGAGGCCTCGAAGGCTGCATATATGGTTTGTGGGTGTACCTGTCGCAGATTGCTCCTCTTGCTGAATTGTGGGTGCCCAATGTAGTTGTCATCATTCTCCGGTGGATCGAAGAAGCGCATATCTGGAACATAATGGCCGTGGGCTGCATAGTTCCGGTTGGGTCGCCTCAGAATGATTCGTGATCGGATTTTGCAGGATATTGTCAGAACATTCAAGTTAGCCAGTAGAACGTTAGACATATGAATTACGGCTACAGTTGCTGCCGTGCGGTCTTATCAGCAATTCTATACAGATACACTATGGACACCCTCCGCGCTTTTATTTAGCGTGTGTAGTACTTAGAGGTACTTTGTACTTCGACAACCCGCACACGCGGCGTATACTCTAGCAACAACTTCTCTCGACAGTCTTGATCCAGTAGTTTTTTGCTGTAGTAACTGCTTCAATTTTCTTCATTAAATATCAGGCTTCACTATGCCGCTTTTGACTGTTTCCGTTTGATGGGTGAGACGTTTCAAGCAGGTGCAGAGGCGGTACCTGCTTGTCAATGTTTCCGCACCGCTACAGCCTCCACAAGCGAGCCACCAAGTATTTTAGAAGAGCAAAATCGGGAGGAACCTTCCAGCCCAAAAATGTTATACATCACTGTATGTTCATCGGAAGCTGCTGTCATGTTTCGAGGTTCTGATACGTCGTTCTGGTTACTCATTAATGAATGAAGCCAAGCGCGCAGCGCTTCATGCAAGCCGTCCTACGTGACTATGTGGGCCCCAACACCGCGACTCATAAGGTCGTGCAAGATGTCTTTCACAATATCGTGGCGTGCTTCTTCGATCTTTTCTATGGACGACCGCGTTTAATTTTGCTGGTTATTCGTCTGCCTAGTATGGATACATGTAGAGAAATTCCTGCTGCCTTCTACTTTGTGCCATGCGCGATAAATCTGCAATGCACACGTCCCGATCAATGATGAAGCACAATGGCATCTTGAAAAAGATGGGATGCCGAGACCGGAGGTGTTTTCGTAGATATGGTATATGGTATACCGGTGATGCAAAACCGAATTCTCCTGTGAACGCAAAATGCTCTGGAACCGCTCTGAAACCGCTAGAAATATCGTCGAGGCTCCGCCTTGAACCCTTTCGTCTTGCTACTGAAAGTAGAGCGGCAAAAAAGCAAACTTATGATTACTAGACAGAAGCGCTGTAACCGTTCTTCCCACGTACATATCTCCGGCAGCTTCATATCGATGATAGGTATTTTGCACTCCTTCCCGCACGCGAATGCACCACCGTAGATGATAGCCAAACTGTAGCACCAAGCGGAAAATATTGCACCACCCTTCCGCATCAAGTGTGTCTCAAGATTACTGGTGTTGACACCTCGTCTATTTAACTCTATCGACAGCTCAACATCAATTAACAAACGCTGTACGCCCTTTTGAAAGGGATCGTACTGATCCGATCTTGGAAACAGTCGATTATCCTTATCAAACGTAGTTGTGGCCCAGTAAATAGCCAACGCCAAAATAGGCCAAATAGCTGGCTGCAATGAGTTGGCATGCACGTGACGCGGATCACGTGGTCGATCCTCACTATGAGCGTTCTTCATGCGTGCAACTTAAACTCTCCTGGAAACGCCGCACCATTCCATGCATGAATGCCGAATACTAAATGGGTTCGTAGATCGACACGTAAGATTTCATGGTATAATCAAAGCCATCCGGGCACATATTGCATCATTACCTGGTAGCGCCATCAAATGTGTGGATAAAACCTCACCGGGCTCGAACTAAAGCGGTTCTTTCTCCACCTAAATTGCCCCTCACCACGACCTTAGCTAGTCGCAAGCTTGCGTTTCAACTCTTAAATAAATGCTTCACCTCATTCTTCAGGGCAGGCCCTATTTGACGTCTTTAGTCCAAAAAGCCGCGATGGGTGGTAAAGGCAGAGTAGCTTAGCGTTGACCCATCCTCTTTTCAAAGAGTGATCAATCTATAATGATCCAATCAGGAATTCAGGTGGCATCCGCAGCTACCCTGATTTGAGATCCGGTATATGGGAATATAGAACTGATGAGTAATATCATGCTGGAGTGGAGAACTTAGCAGTTGATGATTGAACCGTTGAAGGTTGAAAGGTTTAGGTAGCGTTTCGACTCACAGGTCGGAAGTGCAATTTGGGATGTCCGATTGACACTCGACCAACCGCCGACTACCTGACAGCAAATCCTATGACAAGGACGAAGCGTCCTCAGAAACGTATCCTGACGTACAACCAGCGTTGGTGTACCTGAGCGTCATACATACGAGACCCGAGAACTAAGTAAACTCCAAACGCTAAGACTACTTCCCGAACGTAAATCCCGTGACCGATCACACGAACCGAGTGGCAATAAATCGCTACTATAGGAAGCAGAAGTGTTGAGGAACCTGAAGATATGACTTAGACTTTTCCGATGGATCAGTAGATATTGAGGAATTACCGAGAGGACAGAAGATCCCCGGGCTACTGGACATCCTGAATTGTGGAAGTACCTCCTGAATGGAGACATCACGAACAACCTGAATGAAGAGCAACCCGAACGACCCACTGAATGGATGGGCTAGAGACGTGGTGGTCCAAGGTACAAGACGCGTTATACATCAGTCCAGGCAAAGATCGAGTTGCACCAACGTCAGATTACCTAAAAGCCATACTGAAGAGGAGATGAGACCTATGCAAATAGTCGGCCGATACTGCAGATCCAAAATGATCCATGTGTTAAGACGTGATTTGTGAGCTCAGGTTGATTATCGATGTGCCAACCCAAGCATAAAAGACTAAGTCATCCGGAAGGTTTACTGCCACGAGCCAAAAGAGACAGATGAAATCGAACCCAGGAAAACCCAAGATATTGCAAGAATGTGAAGAACATGAAGGTAAAGAAATGATTGATTGTTAAGCGTTTTAACAGAGTTAGTTTTACTATCTCGTGCGGAAGTGGTTTGCAAAACCCGTTTTACCAGAAGTGTAGTGGGCATAGGGCTCACTAGTTGGCTTACACGTGTGCGCACGTGTAGGAGGAAGCGTAGGATTTTCTAGGTTCTATAGTGTACACACGATACGCGTGTACAGTAAAAGAAGATAGGAATAAGATAGCGTAAAATGAGAACTGTTATTTTTGTTTTAAGTGTTTCCTTCTTACACTGATTATCAAATATCTAAGGGGCTGTCAGCGAGTGGCTGACAGCGATCCGAATCACTGATTGGTAGAGGTGTGATGCACTCTATCAATAGGATCTCTTTATATGCAACCTTGATGTACTTACACACCAAGATAGGAAACCTCTAACTCTAACCGGTTAACGTTGCGGTTAGAGTTTTGTGTAACCCCGTTACCCCCCCCGTTAAGATTTGACGTGCCGGTCACAACACGTCAATCCAAGCTTTGACGAGTCCGTCAAACCTCTAGAGAATTCTGCACTCATTTTGAAATGAGCGCTGCCAAGCAAACACCAGTGTCGTCGCCAGTGTCCGCGTCGACCGTAGCGTCGCCGCCGGCACCCGTGCTAACGTCCGCGTCGACCTCGGTGTCGACGCCTGTGGTTGGTCCCGCGTCGGTGCCTGCTTCTTTGCACGTGTCGGCGGTAATCCCGACACCTCTGGGTGGAACGACATATACTACGAGCTTCAGGAGAAGAAGCTCGAGCTCGTGCCGAAGCAGTGCGCTGGAGCTGCGAAGCCAGACAGTCCTCAGACTGTCTTCGATGGTTCATCGGTGCTCTCAACCGACGGTGACATCCCCGTAGACTACGAGGATGGAGAACTTGAAGTTTAGGTCACCTCGTGTTTCCGGTCGCATGAGTCCAAGCCCGTGTCTGGGACTCGCCGTCCTCGTGAAGACGATTCGGACGCTTCTTCATCGAATCGTCCGCAAAGTGCAAGTGATGCAGTGCCTTCCAGACTGGAAGCACTTGCCATCACCGCTGAGCGTGATGTCACGCGCACTGGTGACACAGTGCGCGAGCCTTGGATGCCGTCCGAGATTGTCATCATAGATCGGTACGGGGCCTTGGTACCTCCGAATGAGATACCATTGTATGTCGACAATCGAATTGTCGACAACGCTGAAGCTGCTGCGAAGCACTTCCACAATTCGACGGACCAATGGCGAGATTACTACATCTCACTCTTTCGCGAGCTCCGGTATTGGAGCTCGAAGAAGACTTCGAGGAGAAGCAGAGTGCCCGAGTGGCAGACACTCTGTCAAAGCTGGAACCAGTTCGTTGGGAACTTTAACAGTGGTCCGGTAGCTTATCGCGAGCGGATTGTTTCCGCTCGTGAGCGTTTTATGAAGTTCTCCAAAACGTCCATCGTTCAGCGCGTTCACGAAGGTTCCGTGAACGCGAATATTTTTTGTGCAGTGCCGGAGGGTATTCATTACCCGAACTGCCCCACTGGTGCGCCCCGCATCAGTGAGAGAGACCTCAGCGGGTATAGGACTAACGGTGAACCCGCTAGCGTTAAGGAGCTACGTGCTAAGCTTGCTTGCACGCGTCAGCATCCTAGCGTTGTGACGGAGCACAACACCCCGCAGTGTTACGCCTCCAGTCAGTGGTGGGCTTCGTACACAATTACCATTTCCGGAACGTCCGTCATCAGGACGTTTCCGGGAAACCACGTATCTCGAAGAAGACCAGATTATCGCCAACGTATACGAAAACGAACCGGACCTCGGTTCGTCTTCGGACTGCTATAGTCAACAATCCGATCCACTTCGCGGTGGATCGTACCGCGGACAAAGTTATGCTTCTGGAGGCGGTACTGGATGCTCATCATATGGTCAACCCCGGGTTGACCACGGTCTTCAGGTGCTCCACGCCCGCGTGGAGGCTCTCGCAACTGTTCAGGCCTCTGAGAGCGCTGAGGTGGGACAGCAGCTGAGTTTGCAGAAGGACTACGTGTGTGAAGCCGCTCAGACCACCTCAAACATCCCTGTCGCCTTCTCCAAGAGAAGGTGAAGCGGCTTGAGGAGAAGCTGAGGACGCGCCGCGCGTCGTCGTCGGCGCGTCCTCACGACTAGATGACGCGGGCTGCACGTATGGCGTCAGGCGCCCGACGTAGAACGTCGGGTGAAGTCTCATGTCGGAAGGAAGTTCCAACGTGTATGCGCTGCCGTGACGTTCTGTCACCGTGAACGGTCCAATGAAGCGCGGAGCCAGCTTGCTTGCTCCGAAGCCAGAGACTGCATGAGTAGGCAAGTTTTGCGTAGATAACAAACCAATGAACCAATTTCGAATTCATTTGTATTACCTCTTCCAACATTATATGCGTTCAGCTTCTGCCTATCCGCAGAAGCTGCAATTGCATCTTGTACAAAGCGAACGACTGCTTGTCGTTCGTGGACAAAGTCAATTGCTTGAGAGTTGAACCCCGGGTTCAGCTCATTGGTTTTGTCCGCGTTTGTGCCCTGCACAGACTCACCACTTGTAGTCGCACCAGTCCCTGACTGTGCGTGGCTTTTTGGGGTGTCAGTGTCTGGCACTGACATTTTGGGTGTGATCGCTACAGGCCCGGCTTGTGCGTGTGTCTTCTTGATGTCTGTACCCCGTGTCCTTTGCTGCAGCAGGTGTCGCCTGCTCGCGGTTCTTCGCAGAGTCAGTGCCCGGTACTGACACGTTGCCTTGTTGTGTGCGGGCTTTCGCTCTCGCACGTGTCATCGCAGCAGATAGGTTCGTATCAGCTGTCTTCTGCGGTTGTTCAGACGCAACCGTAGATCCTCCCCACTTAAGGAGGTATCCACCGCCCCGAGCGTGCTCCGAAAGGCGTGGATGCCGCATGGCGTTCACGAAGAACGGTGTATGCCCGGTCGAGGCATGCACCGAGTTGTTGATGGCAAACTCATCCATCGTCAAGTAGTCGCTCCAGTTGTGGAACGACTGGGCGTAGCTTTTCAGCAAGTCCACGAGCACGCGATTCACGTGCTCGGTTTGACCGTCCGTCTGCGGATGATCCGCAGTCTACAGAGAGAATCGTGTTCCAAGAAGTATGAACACTTCTTGCCAGAAACGCGCCGTGAAGCGCGGATCGCGGTCCGACACAAAGACGTTGGATATGCCACGGTGTTTGAACACCATGTCGACGAACAGACGTGCTGTCTGTACGGAGGTCACCTCCGCTGCGCCAGCAGCGAGATGCACCATCTTGCTGAAGCGGTCCACAAAGACCACAATACCAGCCTTCCGCCTAGAATCGCGCGGAAGACCAAACACTAAGTCCATCGACACCGACTCCCAGCACTCCGACGGAGTCGGCAGTGACTGTAGATGAGCCTGCGAGTGAGGCGTAGGATTCACACGTTGGCAAACATCGCAAGTACGTACGTACTTGCGCACCCACTTGTACTGGTGGTTCCAGTAGAAGTCTCACGTGAGAAGAGAGTATGTCTTCTCACGTCCCGGATGTCCTGCTGTGGGGACGTCGTGATACTCGTACAAGGTCCTGCTGCGTAGGTCAGGAACATTAGGCACGATAATACGTTCCGCATTGTCGTCTACGGCACTGTAAAGTAGTAGACCGTCGTGCACACGATATCGGTGTGCAGTCGCTCGTAGACGAGGGACCAACTTCCGACTTGCTTTGTCGGAAGGGGCTAAGAGGAACTCGATCAGCTGCTTCGCCTCTCCGTCATTCGCATACGCGGTCTTCACCTCGTCCAACAAGGGCGACGGCGGTGTGTAGGTGCGAGCGACATCAATCTGGTTGATGTCGGCTGACTTGACAGCATAGTCCGGCCGTCGCGACAACTCGTCCGCGACGACATTCAAACTTTCCGGGTTTGTATTCGACCCGGAAGTTGTACTCCGCGAAGAAGAATAACAATCTCGCCATTCGTTGCGAGATGTGCGGGGACTTCACAGCCGTCCGCAACGACACGTGGTCTGTATAGACCACGAACGGCGTGTTGCCGAGTAAGTACACTCGTAACTTCGCGAGTGCGTAGTTCATGGGAAGGAGTTCCTTGTCATGCACTGGGTAGTTCCGCTCAGACGGCTTCAGCTGACGCGACTGGTAGTAGACGGTCCTCGTGATCGAGTTGCATTAACGCGCATTCGATCGAAAAGTCGAATGCGTCACATACTACGTGAAAGAGACGATCTTGGTCAGCCACCGCCAAGGTTCAGTCAAGCCCAGCTTGACTGCATCGAACGCCTGTTGACACTCAGCAGTTCATATCCACCCAGCTTCCTTCTGCAGGAGCTGCGACAGCGGGTGAATCTTGCCTGCGTAGTGGTCCACGTACTTACCCAAGTACGTGACAAGGCCAAGGAACTGCCGTAGTTCCTTTACGTTAGATGGCTTAGGCCATTCATTGATCACGCTGACCTTCTCGGGGTCAGGATGTACACCATTCTTCCCAATAAGACACCCTAGCACGAGTATCTCGCTCGCACCGAAGATACACTTCTTCAGGTTTGCATAGAGCTTGTGCTTGCGCATGAGCCCAAGTAGTTTTCGGAGATGCTCCTTGTGCATCTCGACGTCCGACTTCTCGTTCACAGCCCAGCTGTGAACGTATACATCGTCTAAGTAGCTTGGTGCGAAGTCGCGCGTCGAACGCAATAGATGCGTGACGCATCTATTGAAGGTCGCAGGGGCGTTCTTCAGTCCTTGCGGCATTACTAGCCACTTCCAAAGCATGCCGCTTGGGGTGCTTACCGCCGTGATAGGGATATCACTCTCACGCATCAGGCTCTGATAGAACCCGTCTCTCAGATTAAGAGCACTGTAGATGGTGCTCTTGGACATCGAATCGATGATGACATCTTTTCGAGGATCGGCGTCTGCACCGGTATCGTCGCATGGTTCAGCTTGTTGTACGCATGAACGATGCGCCAGTCACCCTGTGGCTTCTTGACACAGAACGTTGGTGCGCTGTGCGGGGACATCGATTCCCGCACTTGTCCTGCCTTGCGACGGCTTTCGAAGAAGTCGTCGATTGCCTTCACTTGCTCCCGCGGCAGTGGCCACTGCCGCATCACGCAATACTTCGTTCCCGGCACGAGATCAAGCTCATGTTGTATTCCCTTGTCCTGCGGAAACTCCGTAGGGATCTCGTTCGGGAGCACTTCCTTGTGCTCTCGCAGAATCTCGTAATAGGGCCTCGAGACTCGACTTCAGCGAGTCCCAACTCTGCTCCTCGAAGCGCTCCTTCTTGGTCTTGGCACTGAGAGTATCCTTGCTCTCAGTGGCGCTTCCACCCAAGAGTTGGCTCAACTCTTCCGCTTCGCTTGTCATTCTTTCGCGTTCCGAAAGAATGCATAGCTGTTCCAAGCGTCCATCGTACAGGTCTTTTGCGAAGCGCTTCCATCTCATGGCTGGAAGCGAGATCAACTCCGACGTATCTGTCGGAGGGTTCTCCAACTCCATCTTCTCGTACTGATACCCAGTAAGGCCCGTGTCAAGACATTTAACGTCTCGACGGCCATTGTTGCCACTTGTGTCTGTCCGGCAGACACATCATGAAGAGTATCGGTCCCCGACCGAGACTTGCGCAGCGTCTTGTGCTTGCGCCGTCGTTTCTTCTTGTGAATCTCTAATTCACTTGCGTTTCGTCCAGGTCCGGCCATGGACGAACGTTCTTTGATATTACCGGCAGACATTCTAGTCTGCGGGCAACCGCCGGCGGGTTCTTGTACCCGCGGGCTCGCGTCATCAAGCACGGCTTGATCGCGCCCTGCTTCGTGCATTCCGGCTGCACGACAGCACGCAAGTTTTAGTGCTGGACGTTTGCAACCGTCCGCACAACTTGTCCAATCGACTCTCGGAGTCGATGCATTGTCGTCACTCTACGCCTTTCGGCGGAGTGGTGTGTCGCAACTCCCAGGGCTGACACATCGTTGTCACCTCGACGCCTCACGGCGGAGAACTTTCTCGATTTTGATATCGAGCGCGTGTCAGCTCTCAGAGTCGACACGCTGCTGTCACGTCGACGCCTTACGGCGGAGAACATTCTGGAAGTCTCTGACCAGACACTCTTTTACTGTCAACGACTCTCGGAGTCGTTACAGCTTGCGCACCCTTCGCGCTGCGACCGGAGACAGCGTCGCGAGCCACTGTCTCTGAAGGAGGTTCGGGTGCACCGTTAGATATAACCGCTGCACTAACAAGACCATCGCTCTCTGTTGCGCCGCGGCGTCCGCGGCGTACGACCGTACGTCTCCCAGTCGATTGTTGGATCATGCCGTGCAAGCCACGGCATGCCCAGAACCATGTCGAACTTGTCGTTCAAGTCGAGGACGAGAAGCGCTTCTACAAACACCCGGTGTTTGTACGAGAAGCGTGCGCGAATCATGCGCTTCTCAGGCTTCACGATGGCACCCGTTGCCAATCTTACTTCCAGCTGACTTCGAGGCACATGTTTCTCCTCGAAGTTCAATAACGGCAGATTCTGCTGTCGAACAAAGTTGTTCGACGCGCCCAAGTCCACCAACACCCGAACAGAGTCCGCTCTCTTCGTCATCAACTTCACCTTCAAGATGACAAGGTTTGGCATGTCATCTTGTACTTCACAGTGAGATTCCCTCTCACTGGGGGCTGCAGTCCTCAATACCGCGTGTCCGTTGTAGACACGCGTGACTGCACTACCAGTAGGGCGCCTCGCACCTACTGGTCCTTTGCGTTTTGGTTCTACCGTGATGATACCCTGTATCGCTCCGTCGACCTTGGTTTGAGTGTACTGGTGCCGTACACTCACGTGCGAAGTGACCCATGTTTCCGCACCGGAGGCATCGCACGTTGTTCCCCTTGCTCTTTTGCTGTCCAACAGCAGATGCATACGAAAGATCCATTGGTTCTGGACCTTCCGTGTTTGCAGCCGGCCGAGGCGGGCGTGGCACGTTCGTGTGCAGTTTAGCCTGCTTCAGGCTAACCTCCTCCTGCATTGCGAGAGTAATCGCAGCTTCGAGAGTACTCGGGTACTCTCGGAAGAGAGAGGCCTTCACAGGCCCATCTCTCAACCCCTAATGAATGTGACGACCTTGGTCGCCTCGTCCATCGGGTCGGTGACGACGTTCTAGACCAAGTACCGAGCCCGTTGGGCGTAAGCATGTATATCATGCTTACCCTGTTGCAGGTCGAGAAACTCCGCTCTCGATCGGAACTCGTTCTGCGGGGGCTCAAACGCGAGTTTGAGATCCTCCTTGAAGTACTCGTACTGGTGAAGCACGTAGGATCAGTGAGTCGGCGCCCATAGGCCCAACCCCTTGCGCGTCTGCGGAGACAAGACATGGCGAAAGCGACTTTCGCGAATGGGTCGACGAGTCATCGAGCCATCACGGCAGTGTCGAGTTCGACCAGCCAACGGAGAAGAGTCTCACCTTCTCTTCCCATGTAGTTACTGACACGTAACTTCAGGTGTTCTTTCCGCGGTGTCTCCCCCGGAGACACTGGGTTTGCGGAAGCAACCTCGCGTTGCTCTCTCATGATGAATCCCAGAGCAACACCATCTTGCTCTGGCGGCGATAGAGTGCGTAGCATTGTCGCTACGGCCGCCTATCCAATGACTGTTGCTAGTCGTTGGAGCGCCTCCCACTCTAGGTCCGCCAGGTGGGGACAGTCTGAACGCACCACATGCGTTGCAGACGTGCTCGGGATTCCGACGCACGACCTGTCCATCGGAAGGTTCTCTTGCCCATGTTCGTAACTCATACGAACAAGGTAGTCGGTCGTTGGACGGACTACAAAGTGCTACCAGGTGTAGTGGGCCTAGGACTCACTAGTTGGTTACACGTGTGCGCACGTGTAGGAGGAAGCGTAGGATGTCCTAGGTTCTATAGTGTACACACGATACGCGTGTACAGTAAAAGAAGATAGGAATAAGATAGCGTAAAATGAGAACTGTTATTTTTGTTTAAAGTGTTTCCTTCTTACACTGGTTATCCAATATCTAAGGGACTGTCAGCGAGTGGCTGACAGCGATCCGCATCGCGGATTGGTAGAGGTGTGATGCACTCTACCAATATGATCTCTTTATATGCAACCTTGATGTACTTATACACCAAGATAGGAAACCTCTAACTCTAACCGGTTAACGTTGCGGTTAGAGTTTCGTGTAACCCCGTTACAAGAAGTACCTCGTCGAAAAAGCCTGCGTCAGACTACCGAAAGGCGTCACTGACTCAGGGGTCGCTCGCACCATGGACCGACTACAGCCACGTCGAACGCGTGAAGACTCTCAACATCGTTCAAGTCAAATTAACTGGGGGGCAGTTACGCTTGGATACTTGGTCTGATTTAGTTATTTCATTTACTAAGTTGTCCCTGGACAACCTTAAGTGTCTGGTTGCATTTCATATTACCCTGCAGTTTAGGAGGATTGTAGCGATCACCCCCTTGATATATATTGTTGGATGCTGTATGAACGGAAGATATTTATATTTATTCTCCTATAGTAGTACAGGGGTGGTGCGTATAGGACATTCCGAAATCTATCTGTTTTCGGGTGTGTCTAATAATTGACAGACTGTATATTTGCATTACAAAGTCTGCGTATATCATCTAGGTCAATTACATTGCTTTAGGTTAATTCTTGGAGGAAGAACTTTGCCAGTGATCTCTCAGCTTACAATCAGAACAACCAGGGCGAAAGGTTCCCGAAGTTCTCTTATATCTCTGTATATCCTATTGGCAATACTGCTGCGGTGTTATCCCTGGTTATCGTATTAATCGAACATACAGGGATTAATACCAGACACAATCCAACCCGGAGTGGAACAAGTTTTCAGCCCGACTCCTGTACTACCTGAACGACTTCGTGTTCGAATCCGTTCAGGGCACGATATACTTCTTTGGGCGGTGAAGCGTCCACCTACTTCGTCACAAATCAGGTATCAAATGCCTCAGCAACCAGACGGTGAAAATCAAGAGGGGGTCATCGTATTTCCGGGTGAGGAAAGTGTTCACACGTCGTAGAAGCTGTTTCTCTGAGAGAGCTCTCGCATCGCCCACTTTTTCTGCAAATGAGTCGAGAACAATATAACGATGGTTTTTAATGATCATACGAAATGAAGCTACAGTAGGGGTTGATGTAGGCAGGTCGTGAACTTGAGCTAACAGTGTTATCACGGATCCGTTCTGTTTGTCCTATATAATTAGTGTGTGCTCTCCACCATGCCAAATAAAAGAATTAATCCAGGACAGATTGTCCTGCACAAGCTTCGAAAAATCAGTTTTTTGCAACGTCCAGCAATAATACTAGTTGTTGTAAATCTATATTAATTAGAGTGATTTTAGTTTGGAAAATACAGGACTTTCTGTCCTGTACTATGAAGCATATAGCAACCTGCTGTCCTGCAAAATCCGGAGAACGTCTTCATATGACGTTGGTTATCCTCGGGATGAAGGTTTCAGATTGAACGTCACAATGGAAACTAACCTTAACACATACCGTCATACCATATTGATCAAGTACGACAATCATCTCTGTCGTGGCTGGTCGTGGCTCATGGACACTCGGTGGCTGACTTGGCGGAGCTTGTATGCGTGCACACCAAGTACAATTACATACCAAACAAGGCGCTTACATCGACTCAGCCAGGGGTATATTTATTGCAGTCTCGTGTGCGCTGTAGCCGCTCGTGAAAGCTAACCGAGTTATATCACACGAGTACCGCAGCCCTCAGCACACTCCAAAACTCACCCGTCACCCAATCACTATCTTATTGCTACTGTAAAAAGTATTATAGGTGACCAAGTTGCAAGTCAGTACCTCGTGATCTTACAGAATGCACGTCAAGTTTGGGTAATGAAGTCATCATCGCACAAGGCGCAGGTGCGAAGAACAAGGACCCGCTCAACGAAGTACGGTTAATCCACGATATATCGTATCCGACGGAGAAATCTATCAATGATGCTTCAGTAAAGGGCTGTTTTTGTCCATCGCGTACCGCCTTATTATTGCTACCTTCGCCAGGCGAATCGAGATTCTCGCTCTGAATAATCTGGTTCAAGTAGTTTATACTATGGAGGGAGACGTTTATGGTCAAGTCGGTGAAACTTTTACCCCTTGGCGTACAGTGGTCGCTCGTCCCGAGACTCTAGGAGACTCGGATGTACAGAGGGTCAGAACTCCGAGAACCTTTTGGGAGCTCTGAGTTTGGCGTGTGGTCTTGTGTCTAATCCCTGTATGTTGAACCCAATATTCGGGAACTTATGGTCTCGACCGTTGGTAGATAGTTGTAGGAAGTCTGTGTGCTTAGCGTGCGACTTACTCTCTGAGTTCACCACTGTGGCAGAAAACAAAACCCAGAACACACTTCTCTTAACAATACAACAAGAAACAATACAGAGAACTTTAAATATACAAATATACAGCCACTACTTATTCTTATAGACCTTTGCGTGAGGGTCTATCACCAATCCTACTTGGAACTACGGTTCAGACACTGGTCAGCATGCGTCGCTTCCTCAATCACGCGCATCACCCTCAGAAATGAGGGAAATACAACCCTAATACATGCGAACTTTGATTCGGCAGTCTAATACAAACCCCAGCGGGACTACGAACCTTTAGAGAACAATCACTAACACGAAATGAGTATCTACCCTTACTGTTTACTAACCGCAGGCACAAATGGGATATGGAATACCGTGGATCTACTCAGAATACCGCCGTGTCTAATCGCCACCGCAATTTGGACTTAGTGCAGCTGGAGCTCCTCACGCGCCACTCTTCCTTGGCACCTGTCCTGCGCGCCTTACGAAACCACTTGTGCCTCACAAGGTAAAAAGCTCTCTCATTATCTTCTATTAAACTGCTAAATCTTTATCTTGGTATCCTATGTTCCATATTTCACTTGATCTTTTTCAGATCCGGTGTAAATACCTTGGTTTCAGTATACCTAAGTACACTCATCATGGTTGAACTTCAAACACACTTGTTTCCACTATGTATCCACGTGACATCATCCGAAATTAGGCATATCACTTCACTTTATACTGTCTTGTCCCACTTGGTCGCGTCATTCTTCGAGTGACGTCTCTGAATCTAAGAGGAACTCCATAGCATATTATGATATAGAATCCATCGGAATATACTTGAATTTTTGGATCTTGTCTCGGTTCATCGTAGAATCACTGAACCCAGAAAGTAATGTCTTCGTACAAACGTAGATATCATTGGTTCCAGACACTTTGGCCTCTGGGCTCAGAGATTTTCTTCGAGATTCACTGGTTATGAGTCCGGATTCAGGAATTGATCACGGAATTCTGAGATATTTTGACGGACTCTGGGATATAGTATTCCACACTGCTTCCAGAACATATCATAACTCCATTTACTGTCCATCTCTTCTTGGATCGTGAGTCTTGTGTGTAAATAGCCCTCGGTGGTGATTTTTTGCGAGCTTGAGTATGATATTTTATGGGTTGAACTAAGGCTATACGGGGTGCTTGGTACAATACGTTTGTGTCAACACTTTCCATAATCAATAGTACCCCTAGTTAGTACGATGGCGAATCTGGACTGAGCACCGCAATGCTTCCAGACTCTAAGGCTCATCCTAAGTTCCCTCACATGTCAATCTCTCTTCTCACATTTCACAGTTACTTTTATTTCCTCACATTCACACCGGCAATCCTGTATCCATTACCAAATTTCTGGACATCCATACAAATCCTTGCGTCCATGAGAAATTACAAATCCCATCGTGTCAACCGCCCATCCTAGCTATGGCTGGACACTGCAGAATTTTCATTCAAGCTGGCATGTCATGTCTGGGATCACGAAGCTATATCTCCATTCTCACTCTGAGTACGAGTCATCTCTGAAACCCATGTTCACTTCTTCTTTGAGAACCATTCAGGTTCACCTAAATCCGGTTCTAAATTCAAGCCCATCCAACAATTCATTCTTGAATCGAGATCCTGAGTACCAATATAACGGTAACGGTCGATACCCATCAGTCCATCAACGGCTCGAACATTCTTCAGAGAACGTTGTCACTTCAAGATTTTCTTCGTTCGACACAAGTCGCTTCGCTCTCCTTTCCTACATGGTCCAAGACTCTTCTTCCTGCCTCGACAACTTCTGGGACACCGACGCCTGAGGCTGCTGTCGTCCCTCTCCAAGAACCGATCGTGCTCCTGACAACACGCCGTCTGTCGAAGCTGGCACTACGGACCCGGGCGTGGGCACGACATCAACCGCGGTATCTGCAGACACGTCTACTGTTGTGCTTCTTCCCGCCAACTTCTTGACGCACGCCAAGGTAGAGGAGATTTCGTTGATGGCGTCATCTCTGGGGTCACCACACTAGTAGCCACCGGTATGGCTCTGCCTCCTGTCGGTTGAGACGCGTCGCCAGCCTACGGAGGTCCTGACGTTCATCTGGTCGGCGTACCTGCGTTGATGGATGCATGGTGGCGCGAACATGTACTCCGGTTATGGTGGCCTTCTCTACTTCAAAAGTCCTGGCGTCTCCGGGCGGCTTCAGAAGCTGAGGGTAGGGGCATGCTGTCGTCTGAGACCGTGGTGGTCCGCGAGAATTTCGTGAGTGGACCGCCATGTGTCGGCACTGGGGTCAACGCATACGGACTCTCAAACGGGGTCGCATTGACAGCGAGGATTTCCTGCATTAATTTTTCCACGATTCTGAATTTGACCAGGAATGGCGCGTGGGGAGCTGACACACCAAGTCGCTCAGCTTCAAGCCCAAATTCGGGACTCTGGGGCCGCTCGTTAAGCAGTGGAATGGCACGCCAGTGAACGTATGCTAGACGTGAACGCTCTTGTGGACTTCTTCATGGATTATGAGCCCGTAACCAACGTGATTTTAAACTGGATGCGCCTCGCAGGGCTCTTACCTCTCTTCGCTGAGGGCACCTATATTCATGAGGGTTGTTTCACACATATAAATGTGGTTGCCCTAGCGCTGCAAATGTCCTGAGTATGCAAGGCCTTCTCCCGGGACGGACAATGGTAACTCGTCGTCGGGTTCTCCAGGGTCACGACGTCCTGCTGTTCTCGACTTGTCGTCTCCTACAGAGATCAAGAAGACTTCGACGTCTTAGTCGCGGACCGGTAACATAAAGCAGAAGGCGTCTACCGCTCGAAATATTCTCTTCCCAAAGCGTCAAACCTTAAGTCCGGCTTGGGACTCGGAACGTGGGGCTAGCCGTCAGCACCGGTCTCGAGGTTACTCGCCCAGGGCTATGTTGGTGTACTCGCCAAGGAATGTTCCTGACGCCCGGTATCAGGCAGATGCAGGCCGCGTGCTTCCGAATCGGATACTCTGGACCGACGTCCGCGAGAATGTCCAGTACCACTTGTTGTCCAGTTTGTACTTAAGTGTGTCATGAAGTGGCTTTCAACAGTCGTTGCATCCATCACCTCGTACACCAAGGGACCATCTGTCGTATGTTGGTCCAAGTGATTCATACGGGCCAGCTAGTTGAGACTCCCTGGTGTCGCTTTATTCGTTGCCATCTTATGTCAGCGCAGAGTTGACTGAGCAAAGCCACCCAGGTACCAACGCCTCCTTGGTATTCTCTGGGTCGTTGCTTCATCAAGGATCATAAGTGAAACAATAGACGCGCGAGGCCGAGGCTCCCCAAGCTACAATCTCGGGATCGTTGGACGGTGAGACCCAAGACCCGGTCTACGAACTTTCGCAGGCCGAGCTGGCCAAAGCTTGCGCAGACCGAGGTGCCGCTAAGAATGATGAGTCAAGTGAGAAATCCGACTATAGTGAAGGGAATCCGAGTCCGCAGCTGCGGGTCTGAGTCCTGCTCATCCTCGTAAGCCAAGGCTGGGAACAAGAGTGAAAAAGGTGATAAACCTAAAAGGCACGGTGCATCTACGAAACCCAAGTCTCGAATCATTACCAGCCCCATGTCTCAAGTCATATCACAATCTGGTAGCGCTCTTTGTGAGCGCAAAATATCTGACCTCTTCGTTGCCACGTTTCTTCGTCGAGCCAAGGTAGAAGCTTCGTCTGAGGGTCCAAGACGTATCCGATCCAAGTTGGCCAAATTGGCGTATGATGATCGTCAGGACAAACACTTGGACACGGTGGAGACTACATGTCGGGAGACTCACGCTCCTATCGTATCTTCAAGAGGCGAAAGCTGGTACAGACATAGGAAATCGTTAGTACATTACATTAGTAAGTAATTTCAATGGACCTCACTAAAAGCGAACTATATTGCCGTTCCTGGGATTTACCCATGCTTTCACGGAATAGATCCGAGCTGTTATCAGGTGAAATCAGACTCTATTAGTTGGATGACAGACATTGTAGCCCAACAAAATTTACCATATAGAATGAGAAAGAAGGGCTTCCAATTGAAAATGAAAGTAAGGAACTTCAATCTAAAGAGGCTAAATGCAATGTTCCATATCTAAGTGAATTTTATCTACTACCTATATCAATCCTTTTCGTACTAAGGGTTTCGTGTGGTGTACCCAACTACAATCTCTCACTTATGGAGGGGTTCTGATGTATCTCACGTATGCACTGTAGATATCCAGGCGGTCCCCGTGCGTGCTGACACACAATGTTTTATAGATTTGGTTGGCGGTAGCCTTTCCCTTACCATGCGAAAACTGGTGCGAATAGTCCCCATCCAAGAGCTTATTCTTTCCTCTTCAACGTCAGACACTTTTGGAGAGCGTAAGGACCTGTTAGTTTTGCCCCGAGCAAAATCAATAACGTACGTTCCACTTGACGACTTCGTCAACATAGCAGTTGGTTCAGCGTTGGTAGCTGTGTTATCGGCGACAACTGTTACGGCAGCGATAAGACCAAAACATACCCGAATGACGAAGGGTTCTTGGTACAGGTTCTGTGGTTTGAGGGATAGACGGTAAATTTTAGAATGAAAGTAAAGTTCATATGCGAGTGAACATGAACAGATTTGATTTTGTCGTTATGTCGTTGTTTTTTTTTCTTGTGTCCCTATGAATGTAGCATTTGGCCGCGTTAACTATGCATGTCGTATCTACTATACATGTATAGTACTGGCGGAATGAAAGGACACATCGATTCTAAGTACCCATAACTTTCGAACCACTTCATCAAAATAAAAAATATCATTAAATTCTCTCTGTAAATAAAACGTAATTGCTTGTTAAACAACGTACTCCGCTAAAACTTATAGCTGCTTAAACTTGTTGCGTCTTAAGAAATCTCAAATCAATCGGGATTATGTACACACCTGATGTTTTAGCTAACTCACGGTGGTAAAATACCATTTCTTCAAAAATCAAATTCTGATGATAGCGTATAACCTCTTTGAAGTATATTAGACATCAATATCGTACTCCTGGAACTCGTTGTTGTCGTTAGTCTCTGACAATTTGTAGGAGGGGTTGCTCGTAGCCTCACTAGCTAACACTGGTAGCTTTTGGACTGATGGGGTTGGAACTAGCTCCGGTGGCGGTTGCTGCTCTCGATACGCAGCCTTCTGCTTCTTAGCCTTCCTGTAAGCACCAAGCCATTCGCGCTTTGAAATGGTGCTGAGACCAGCCTTAATCTTGAGACCCAAGCCCACAGTCGACATTGCCGGGTTCATCGCAATCTTGTTCTTCAGCACCCCCAGGTCTTGTACGTCGTAGGTGGTTTAGCCTGACAAAGCATAGTGTTAGTTAGGTAACAATAAACGTAGCACAGTAAGAAATACACATACCTGCGCAATGAGTCATTCCAGTTGCTATATCTTGTATCCATGAATGGGCACGGTAACTCCATGCATGTTTAACCATTCCACCATCTTAGCCTTGGACTTTGATCTGGACAGCGCGGGTCTACTATAACCTTGTAATACGCCGCTCCGTCTATCTGGATACGACATGGTCCACACGTATCCAGCAGATTCTTAAACAAGTCTCCAAACCAGGCCTCAAACGGCTCATCCGTGAAGTTCCCATGATAGTCGATGTCATCGGAAGTCTTCAAGTGCGACGCCCAGGTTTTGATGGATCCCTGAATTCACTCACCATGTAGCCGGCCGTCCTTGACAAACAAGACACCAGCTCCAACGATGTAGTACCGTTGTCCAGCTCCACTAGCTACATACCGAGGTGGGTTAGTAGTGAACCACGTTGCTGGTGCAACCTGATTGACGTTGCAGTAGCTCTCGTCTAAGAATATATCTGACATCTTCGGTTAGTTCTTCGTTGATATGTTGTGCATCCTCCTGCCCAAGTACGTGTTCCTGAACTTTACGGTCACGTCATGGTCTGCCCTTGGATCTCTCTTGCGGCCCTAACGTAGGACACATCCATCTTCTGAAGCTCGTCTCTCATTGTCCGATCTAGAATGGCTACACCTTTAACATGTTCTAGATCGGAATATATAAATTTCGATGAGATTGATTATCGTAGTAAATTACGGTCATTTATAACTTCCATAATAAACTCCCGGTAATGTTCAACTTCAGAACTGGGGTGGTGTCCGCGCTTCACCGGCGGCGCCATGAATGCATCGTAACTGTACTCGTTGTAGGCTGCTACCACGCGCGCAGCCAAGCTCTCTGAAACAGCCAGACACTCGGTACGCTCTCACGCACGGTTCTTCTAAGTGGGTCCACCCGTAGCTGGGCTTCGGCCAAAATATACCGATGCGTATGCACAATGAGGATCTTTTCTTGGGCGGTTAAGATAGACATCGTAAGTATAGGAATGGTGGATGCAAAATTTGAGCAGCAGACGTATAAAGCTGGTGAGCCAACGATTTCTTTTGGTAGTTTTGCAAACACCGTCGGCTTCGGTCTGGTCGAGTTAAATAAAATTATGTAAAGTTGGTGTGTCTGTTCATTCCGCCAGTACACTAGTCTCAATAGTAAATCGTTTTGTTGTATTAAATATGTAGTAAGCACGACATAAATATGTTCACTTAAAAGAAACCGTAAGCAACTGGGTTATGTAACAGGTTTGTTCTTAACATTACATGTATAACAATAATAGACACTAAATTGCGACAATTACCTCTAGCGGGCGGTGGTACCACACTACTTTCAGGGCATACAGTAAAATATTAAACGCTAGCAAGCTGACAACGGCGCTTTGCGGCGCACCACTCGACACTCTGTAGTAGTATCAGTGAACGTTTGTTTATATTCTGATATTATCAACACCGTACATGGCCTTGTGAAAGGAACCATGGCAGATTTTTAGACAATCGTTTTCGTTAATCAGATGTCGGATTTGAGTGACCTGAATGAGAGACATGCATACACTATATTATTTAGGAATAATAATTATAGTCAAACAAATCAAAACATCGGAGCGACATCGGGGACGATGTCACGCAATGCAGCGGGATCGAGGAGGGTTGGGCTAGGCGGCAGCGAGGAGGAGTTAATGGTGGCGGAGCTATTGCTGGGAATGTGTCTTGTTACTGGGAGGAGGAATTGAGACGTGAGATTAATCAGGCTGGTTAAATTTGCTAGCACGCGTTGGGAACACGCAACAAGAATCATGTCTCCATCCTACCGCCTATCAATTTTCTCTTCCCATCTGAATAAAAAATCTACAGATGAACTCATCTTATCTAGATACGTCCCTTGAACTTGATTTTTTCTTGATGCGTCCCAAAATACAGAATCGAGTCATAAATGAATTCTTTCACATCATTAGGATTTAAGTCCAATCAAATTAATGATTATGGGACGGCCTTGGCCGTTGTAATCTTGGAAATTCAAAAGTTGCAGTTTTATGAACATGTATTTTGGATAGTCCTACATTCACACGTAATATAAATTTTGACGTGGATTCCGTCGCCAGTAATTGATGCCGCTGACGACAACTACGTCACATGACCTCCCTTCAAGAAGACGCCTTTTGCGAATATGTCTTTGATTTCTTGTTAGATACTCAATAGAGGTCGATGAGTCTGGGATTCCTCTTCAAATACTCCACGGGCTCCCAGAAGGGTTCTGACTTCGATTCACCCAGCCACTATATTATGTACTGAGGTTTCCCCTTGTACTTCCGATGCCCAATTATGGCCTAAACGAGTTGTCCCTCTGAGCCATCGTCTAACACCACTTTGTTCACGAATGATGTGTTTCCGCTATGGTTTTAGTAGCGATGTGTGAAATATCGGGCGCATCTCCAATCCCTTCGATAATCCCAATTTATAGGTATCTTTGGAGATTTTCTTCAACACTGGAAACTGTCTCGTGTATCTTGGAGCGAGAGGTTTCGACTGGGAATATCCTTTATGACGAATATCCATAATTTTTCGATCTAATAGCAGCATGGCGTTGACGTCGAAGTTGTGTATATGTGTGTTCAAGTCATAGGAATGCTACATACGCTCCTGCACTTTGCTCATGCGGTCTTGTGCCACCTCGACCATAGTTGGCTGTCGAAGTAATCAACAACACTCTTGCGCTGATTTCTCATTTTGTTAAATTCCCTTGAAGTGTAGCTGGAATTCAACGCGTTTATTGAACCATAGAGCAATCCATCGGTTAGTTGTCTTCTGCGTCGGAATCATCCCAATGCACTTGTGGTCGGTTTCGACAGTGAAAGGTTTGTCCATAAGATAGACACGCCATGTCTTTAGAACATATTGCGTACCGGACCAGAGGCTCCGGTTTTGTAGTTCGACAAGAGC